TTATGTAACAATATACTGGTGATCAACACTTTCAGTAGTTCCGAACAGGGATAGGTTTACAAAGTTATACACAAAGATCATGTGTATCTAATCTTAATATTCTTTGGTGTTTAATCCCATATATTTTTTAAAGGGTATTCCCTGCATAACAAGGAAAGTTTGCCTGTAAATGTGCCTACAGGAAGCAAATGTTTCAAAGCTAGATTCATACTGTTTTCAGTAAATACTTAAATACTTCAGGATGCAACTGGACAAATATCTGAGAGGGATGGTTCAACTTGGTGTCCTGCACTGAGCAGGGGCTTGGACCTGATGGCCTTCTGGCCCCTTCCAACTCTACTATTTTATAATTCTATGAAATAGATGAATTATCAATTATAATTCACCATTATTAATTTCCACTTCAATTAAAGGACTTGCTAAATTCTTCAGTCAATTATTAGCTCTCTTCTAGTTCTGTAAAATTAATTAGACTTTTTGTATTAATAATGTTTTCTCAACCTAAAGAGATTTCAAGGGCAGACATCACGTATATGCAGAAGCAATTAAAGGATTAGATGCAATTTAGTACCTGGATTCTGCACAAAGTACTGATCGAGTCATATGCATGCTACAGTGATGCTGAACTAAGGCCAAAAGCCATGGAATTTATCAGTCTCATGTGCTTTGCTGACAATTTTGTTTAACTGGTTTCCATATTAAGGAAAGGCAAAGATGTTTTTCTCATGTCAGCTGTTGATTTACACTCTAGCTGTTGATCTACTCTCATGGCATCTTGGTGCCATGTCTATGAACTATCTGCTCCTAATCAATAAGCAACTGAGTGCTACCAGGCCTCACTGGGTCTGGAGATGATCAGAACACACGAAACCAGGAGCTGAACAAAAAGGAGGCCAGAAATGAAAGGCGAGGGCCTGGAAAGAGGCCACAGTGATCAAGAGAGCTGGAAGCTTGCAAAACTGAAATGCAGAAAAGGTAAGTGCTAAGGAGAAGAAATCTGAAGGAGAGAAGAGTGAGCAAGAAACACTCCTGACTGCTGGAGAGGTCAAAAATGCAACATCAAGGAGTCACAGCAAAGCAGAATGATCCAGGAGAGAGGCATGCAGCCAGGAGGGCTTCATTGAGGGTGGAGTGAGTACAAGCACATACTCTTTGTTGGCTTTTCAGGGACATATGCCACTGGATTTTGAACAGGAGGAGGAGCTGATGGGGGAATCAGACGCAAGTGGCAATCCCTAAGGAAGGGCTTGCTTAGACCTCACTGCCTGGCTCTCTACCAGTAAGGACCACCCTTAGGATGTAATTGCTGCAGTATTGAAAAGGAGAGATTGGGAAGAAGTTTCCAGTTTGGTTTAGGCTCATCACACGAGCAGAGGCGTATCCTTTCAGCTTGATAGAAGGCTGTTTAGAGTTACATTGGCTTGTTGCTGGGAAGTTTCAATACAGATCTTTTCTCATTGGCCAGAGATGATGGAAAAAGAGAGGGTGTGTCAAAAGCATACTAATCAAATTGTACAACTGGCTTATCTGGTGAACCTTACACCAGTTTCCTCTGAATTTGTATGTATTTTTGACTCCTAAGAATGCATTCCCACATTTGTGGTCTGTGAATGAGGTACCAAAAGTGGGAAGGCGTTTCTTATCCAGCACTAGCAGAGTGGCAATCCAACATATGGCACTAGGCTACTGTTTGGAATTGGCACTGAGAATATGTTCTCCACTGCTTAAGAGGAGCTATACTGGTTGATGGTACATTTCTAAACACAATTCAAGATTTTCATTCTTACTTTCCAAGTCCTGCATAACTTGGGACCTGCTCCCATATCATCTTGTCCATCCAAGTGAGCTTGTCCTCTGGGTGATCCCACCATGTGAAATGAAAGTGATTGGAGTTATGGCATGTGATGGTGGAAGGACTTCTTAGTGCTGATGTTCTATTTGTAGAATTCATTCTCCAGAGAAATTCATCTCATACCTCCCTTGTTTTCTTACAGATGCCAGGTGAAGATCTTTTTATTCTCTCAGGCTCTTAAATCTTTGAGTTCTGGACCTTTTAATCTACTGCTTTTCATCTGCTGGTTTTGCATTGATTCACTTGGCTTTTCTGTTATGTCATTTTTCTATCAACCATTAGTTGAAGTGCAGTACAAAAATGTCCAAAATAAATTGAATAAGGCTGAAATGTTATACCCACTTATGGAGAGTAAACCCCACTGAACTCAAAAGGACTTGCTTTTAAGCAGACATCTGAACTGCAAATAAATTAATAAGAAAGACAGATACATATTTCATGAATAGACAATAATTTGAAAATCAATTTAATTATTTTTGTCAACTGAAACTGATGGCGCTCATGAACAGATACATCTCAGAATTCCATTTTGTATCCTTTTATTACCTCTGCAAGAATGGGTTATAAGAAAAAGCTGACAGGTATACATTCTAGCTGCGGAGGGAGATTCACAGTACAGTGCTAGGCATGCCTACTCAGAAGGAAATCCAGCTGAATTCAACTAGACTTCATGCAAGTGTACACAGAAATGTATCCTAAGATGAGTTTATACGTGTTCATTTAAAAATGTCAATCCATTTTAGCAATACTGGTTGTTAGCCAAAGAAGGACTTGAGCAAGGGTATGGATAGATCTGTAGCATTCCAATACAGAAATGGTTCAGAAGTTACTGTAGGCAAATTAGTTACGTAAATGTTAATTGATTTGCATTACCATCTGTCTCAGTTGTATAGCAAAGTACCAGTGAGGGTCCTGTTTGTTTTATTCTGCTGTTAACTAATCATGTCATGGTGTCCAAACTGATTAGAGAGTGTAATCCATTCTGAAAGCCTGTTCACTCATTGCAGCTACTCCTCTGTCATGTATACTGCAGTGTCTCCATACACTGCATGTTCTACATGGACATTGAGTTTAGCATACATATAGGGATAGTTATTTCATTGTTTTGATACTTAATCAACAGTGCAAGTTTGCTATCCCATCTGGCTGATGTTACAGATATAAAGGAGGTACTGTGAGGATTGTAATTTTAAATGTTGATTCCCAAATGGGAAATTGCAGGAAGCACTGGGGTCAAGCTTAAAATCCTATCTGGCAGTGTTCCTCTCTAGAGCTGAACTAAAATGTCTCAAAAGACATATTTTTTTGCAAAATACTGTGCAATCTTTCTTTTCCCATTTCAGGAAAGAGAAGACAGCGATTTTCACCCATACTAGGAAGCAGTGGGAGCAGGACGACCATTTCACACACACACACACACACACACACACAGAGCCTGAAAACAACATTTCAGAGCATTGTGAAGGCTGCAGAAAGGTGGCCTTCTTGCCAACTTAATCACTGCTGCCACTTTTCATGGCAGCAAAAGAGAGCAAAGCCTTGAGGAAAAGGAAAAAAGATGCACTATCTCTGTATCGTCACTCTTACTTCTAAGGAACCATTAGATAATATTTTCCGCTTCCTGGAAACAGAGATGTTGGGTGACTAGGTTGACTCAACATGCTAAGCCACCATGGTTTCAAAGCCTCCGTGGCTTAACATGTTGTCCAAACCTAATACAGCTTTGTCAGAGTGGCTTAAGTTTGGGTTAAATGCTGCCCAGATAAGCCATGTCTTGTTGTGGGGGTTTTTGCCTCATGGCTTGTCTTGTTGTTCAAACCCAGTTGACATGACCATCAGGTGGGTGGCAGGAGACTGGGCCATCAGGGGACTTGATATCACAGTGGAAGTGGTGTCAAGAATGGACAGTGGTAATTACAGGAGGCTAGTGGGCAGCCTGAGGGGAGACTGACTGAGGAGGGCTCATAGCAGAGACAACTGTAGTATTCTTACAGTCACATATTCAAAATGAATGACAGAAGCCTCTGTTTTCATAAGATGGTTAAGTGTATGCCTCCAAAAAGTAGCCTTTAAAGCAGGGAAGTTTTTTCCAGCATGGTGTTCTTTCTCCATGAGGACTGTACATTCCAGTGGAGAGCAGAACCCAAAGCAAAAGGGGTGGAGCCAATGTACCCATATTATCAGCATATATTACCTTTTAGCATATATTACCTTCTAGCTCTTCCTGTCAGCCTGAATCTCGCACCGTGTTGCATGTGTGTTCCACCCATTGGGTCTGTTTTGGGTCAGCCAAAGGGTGCTTATTTTCAGTGTTAAATATTGGAACAAAATAATTTCTGCTTTAAAAACTAACAAAAGATTTCCTTGACAAAAAGCAATAGAGAAATGTTAGTCTGAGGCTCAGGTTTCAGCTGCTTCGTTACATCTGGTATGAACAGGGATTTTTTCTGAGGTCAGGCTGGCTTTTGACTCTGGGTAATTACTTTGGGATTTGGGTTATTTAAAACTTACAGGACTCCTGACACCTTTGCCTTTGGCACAGTTTAACTTAGGATGCCTCTGACATGATGACCATAGTTACTGCTTATTACCTTGCAGTTAGGATACTGGGAGTTTATCTTAGCTTGGGGTAGTGGTCTGATCGTTGCATTAAAATCTGTCCTATGGGCTGCTTCTTTGTGCGGATTTCCTATTTATGTGGCACTCTTATACATACAATATAGAATGTTAGCAAAATCTAGAATACATCTTCAGACAAAAGAATGTCCTGAGGCACTGTGTAAGATCATATTTTACTTTTGTGGTACATCAGATTGTTAGTGTTGTATAATACATCTTTTTCAGTACCATTCTCAATGAAATAAGACATGATGTTGATCTAGCTGCTGGGATTATTTCACTCTGAAATAGTAGCTGGAAAAAACATCAGTGATGCAGCACTTTTAAAGTTGGTCATCTCTGGGGCACTGGAGACATATTCATGTCCCATGGAGTGATGGAAGCTGGGAAAGGTGCTCAGAACTAACATGGTTTCTCTTCTGTTGTTCTGTTCTTGTCATTCTCCCACCAACAATCATTTACACAGCAGGTGCAGGTTTAGCACTGAGCTTTCTAGTCACCCAAATGTTCTTCTTTTCTAAATCTTCAGATTGGGAGTAGCCTTTTAAAGGTGTGGAGTGATTCTGGAGACCATAGTACACAATGGAAGAAAGCAGAATTACACCTGGGGAAGATGAGAAATTTTGAAGTAATATTTGAAGGCATTCGAATGAAAGATCTTGGAGGAGGAGCAGCAATAGATGACATTGAATATAAGAACTGCAGCACAGGTAAGACAGAGCATAAGGTTAATTCCATATAATACCTTTCAGTTGTTACAGAAATACTGCACATTAAAGTTTCTTTACAAGTGTGTCATTTTTAAAAACATGGATTGGATCCAGGATCTTCTTTTTGTAAGTGGAATGAACCATAAGAGGAAAGGCTCTGCTCTCAGAAGGTCCCTCCACCCAGTTATGGAGTATCCCCTGGACATCACAGCTTACTTCATCCAGCAGTCTCCTGGCTCCCTGTGTGGCATCTTGGGCTGAAGGGGCTGCTGTGGGGAGGAAAGGGTGGGGAAGTCTATTTCTCTTGGTGCGCTCATTCTTGTGTAAACCTGGATCCAGTCTGATACCTGCAGCATCAGGCCTAATGAAAGAGTTTGTGTCTCTTGTTCTCAATAATACATTATTGAATATAAGGATTTAAATGAATCTCCTGCCCATGGAATCCTTTGTCACTGCACAGAGCCAATTTTTGACAGCATAAAGAAAACTTTATTTATTCACACTAGAGCCCTTTGGCATAGCTAAGGCTTTGCAATTAGCTGGAAGAGAATTAAAATTATGGTTCCACACAAGTACTTAATATAGTTTTATATTATCCATTAGCATCCTTCCCAATTGCCAAGATCCTCTTACAATATATATATATACACAAGGATCCCAGTAATGTTATTTCAAAGTTTCCCCCTCGTAGGATTATTGCTTCCTGATAAATGCAGAGAAGACATTACTGCAGAATAACCTATTCATTGTCCTTTGAATAGCTTCTCTTAATTGTTCCAATGTCCATTTCTGTTTCCACAAAAGAAAGCTTTAATTACTGGTTTCCTTTCATTATGATTTGATTTCATAATTTTATTATGAAAACATGTACAATTAAACACAAACAATTAAAAATGCAAGGAAATCAGTTAAAGCTGCCCCCTTGCAGGAACAAAACTAACATCAGGGCAATTTAAAGAGTGTATTCAAAGGGCACTTAACAGGCCCCTTAACACCACTAATTCTGTGCCTTCACTAATCAGAAAGTCATAAAACAGACTGAACCTGCAAACCAGAAGTACTGGATGAGAAGAAAGGAACCCTTAAAAGCATCTGTGGTAATTTGCTTTACTAAAATCAAATCAACAAGAAAGATTACTATGAATGAGCTCTGAAAGATTTCCCATGGGACAGGAACAAAGCAAGCACTGGGAAATGGAAAGTGAGGGCAAGGAAGAATGGAATAGACTTCCTGAGATGGTGGCAGGATTCCAGACAGTCAGACAGGAAGAAAGCATTTCACACCATTTTGCTGCACTTCCCACCTGTTCCATTCTGTTCTCAGCTCCTGCATTCACGCTCCTGCTTTGTTAAGCTCACCATGTCCAGGAGAACCTGAGCCAGCAAGGGTCTCCAGGGCATCTTTGGTGTTACATAAATCACATAAGTGATATATTTTGCAGTTTACTGATGAGGACAATATCTTTTCCTTCCGCTTCCTCTGCAGTATTCTTGCACACGTTCCCAAACGTTGTTCCTCTTTGTCTTAAGTGTCTGCCACCACACTTTTTATGCATGTGATTTACTCTAGTTCAAGAAGTGGAAGTTTGCAGAATTGTTAAGGTAGGAAGTCTGATTCAGAGACTCTGCCATTTTGACAAATCTACAGTTGCAGCTGGGATTACCGGTATCTCAATGTTTTAGCCAACAAATCTTTGGTTATTGAGGGGCCCACCTGCCTAGACCGCAATGCCCTGAGACAGAATTCTCCAAGAGCCAGTACAATTTGTTAAATCTGTTCTGTGTCAGAACTGATGCACATCTTTAGATTAAACCTGGCCTTCTTCATGACACATGTGGCAGTTTAAAATTCCCCACAGCTTTCAAATGGAAAGTACTCCATATTTGATATGACTTCTAGCTGCTGCCTGGGGAAATGCTTTATCTAGCATTTCCCAGAGTCAACAGTCAAGGTCATCCGCAGCCATAGATGTCATTGATGAACAGGCTGATAGCATGGCACGCTTCCTATAAGTATCTGAGCAAATTGGCAAGGCATCCTGGTAGGGAAAGGAGTTAAATGGAAACTGTTCCATCTGAAATATTTTCTGGAATCCTCTTTTCTTAATTATTCATAAAACACGATCAATGGTTGATGGAATGTTATTTCTAAGAATTCTTTCCGAACATGTGCCGACAAAACTAAAAACAATCCTTATTTTACTTTGCCCCATTTTATTTTGGGAGAGCATACATTTGTTTCGAGTTCTTACTGCATTCTGCTTCTGAAAGGGTTTTAAAATAATGGTAATTACCATTATGCATACTGGATAAAAATCACCACTTGCTTTCTTAAGGCACAATCCACAAAGTTTTCCTCTATAAGTGAGGTCCATAAAGAGCATCTTACTAGCTCTGTCTAGAAAAACACTATTGACAGAACTATGGCTTTGGAGGGTTCCAAGAACTAAAGCAGAACCCTCTTTTCTATTCTTCCCAGTGACTGGAAATGCTCAGCTACACAGAGGCAAGGAACTGGGCATTCTGCTGTGTGGGAGTGGCTGAGGATCAGAGGAATGATCGGCCTTCTTTAACTGTACATCCCACCAAGAAAGCCCCTTGTAGGAGTCCCCCTTTTATAAACGCCCTCTGCAGTTATAGCTCAATTTGTGGCCTTGGAGGGGGTTTCTAGACAATCCTTCGGCTCCTAGAATACTATCTGCAGACTATGGGATTACACTCCAAGGTTTATTTAAGTAAAATGCAGTTTGTGTCAGGAGCTGAGGTTCCTCCTTCAAGCATTCAAAAGCCACAGATTTTTTTTCCTTGCAATGTTCTTTATTGGCCTAAAAGCATCTTTCAGCAGGCACTGAGCAGTTTGTTGAACCCAGTCTAGTATTCCCCTCCAGAATCTCTCCTGATGAACTTGCCTGGACCACTTCCCTTCCAGAGGGGCTTTCTGAGAGCAAGCACACCTCGCCTGTAAATGGGCCACCCTCCACTGCTGATGCTGGGGTTGAGAGCCAGGGCTGCCTGGACTTCGTCTGAGAAACTCCCATGTTCAGGGTCCCCTCCCACCTGCCATGTATCTTGAATATTCCCATGGGGTGCGTCCCCATTTCAGGCTTTGGAATAAATGCTTTCATCTCCATGTCTTGGCACAGCCTGTCCACTCTAGCTCCCTCCCATTCTGTTTCACATTCCGGTTTAGATTCTTCTGAAGTCCAGCCAGCAGCCCTTGAGAATAAATGCCCAAAGCCACCATCCGTCTTATTTCCAACACTTTTCTGATTTTAAAGAAGACAAAGTTTGAAACAATAGTGTATCTATTATAATGGTGGAATGTCCCCTTTAAGCAGCTCTTCTCAGACAGAGACAGAGATAAAAGCAGACAGAGCTTGTCTTGCTTACCCGTATTTTAGCATTCTCACCTCCTCTTTGTTTCTGCTTCTTCATTTAATAGAGGCTATGCATCTTTGGAACAGAGATCCGTCCCTCATTATTCCATCAGATGGAGAGACCTACAGCTAGTTGAAAATATTTTCACAGAAATTCTAATACAAAGAAAGGCAGGAGAAAAAGGAAAACAAATAAACAAATAAAAAATTAAAGCCCTCCACATTCCTGTTGGTTTTCCTCCCTGTAATTTCTTGTATGCTTGAGGTGACCATGCTTCTTGATTTCATCTGGAATCGGGGGATAGCATTTTACTTTCAAAGGAACAATATAACTTCAAAAGGAGTGTGGAGGATTACCTTCAGAATCTGTTGCCCTCATGGAACACAATCTTCACATCCTGATTACCACCACATTCAAAACTCATGTATTTTGATAGCAGGGTATCCATGGATGTATCCAAAATACAGTATCGCATGCACTAAGCTGAGAATGCCAAAGATACTTCAATTTTTAATGTTTTTTGTAAAGTTACCTATTAAAATATTTGTATTGTTTAATTAATCTTCCTTCAGACATGGGATTTTATCCAACAAGGCCTACCTGCCAGCAAAATAAACACCACTGGTAAAAGGCATTCCCCCATTCCCCTGCCCTAATATACCCCTTCTAGAGAGTTGGGAGACTCTCTGGAGCAGATATGGGGGCATCCAGAGGGTAGGAGGTGAAGGAGAGGAAGGAGAATTCATAGGTCTAGCTTTCTATGATGTGTACTGAATCTTGCTCCTAGTTCATGACTGGCAGTTGGTACTATTTCTGTTGGGTATCTCAGTTCCTCCTGTGTGAATGATGCTTTGTGTTAGCTTGATTACTTTTGATAGCTGTCTTCAATGTCATTGATTATTTTCTGCAACTGATTTTTTTCAGACTGTTACAAACTATCCAGGGTTTGCTCATCAATACTATATTGTGAATGCAGAAGACTTGTCAGGGGTCTGACTTGATGAGTAAGGAACATAGAAAACGAGAGGGCAGCACAAATCGATAGAGATTATAGAATGCCAAACCCAAAATAGTCCCAATGTGTTTTGTTATATAAATGCCATCTAAATACCACATGTCATTTTTAAAAGCTCTGTATACATTAGCCATATAATACTTTCTGAGAAACAACATTATAAAAGTAAACTATCAGACCTAATAACAATATTTAACAAGCATTTCTGCAATACTTTTAAGCAATACAATAATATATATATTAAATCCCACTGAGTTCAGTGGGTGTAAGATTGTAGCATCTTGTAGTAAGATTGTTCAAAATACAGCATCTCACTTAATATCGCAACTACCTTTAAAGGAAAGTGGAATCCATTCATTAAAATAGCCTGACTAACCCATTCACCTTGCAGCATTTTATACTGATTATATAAAGCATTTATAATTATCTGCATGTGCATATTTGATATACAAGAAGAGGTTCCTGCCTGTTTCTCTCTAATCTTATTAAAACAAAAAGAGAGAATTTGAAGTGAGTTTTGGGTTTTGCTAAGTTGGAGGTGTATTCATGATCACTTGGTTGCCACAACACATATGTATGTGTGTGTTTGTGGAATTACACTTAGTTCCACTTGGAAGATATATAAAATCTAGCAAGCAGGACAAAATATAAATTTTTGCCGGGTGTGTGGGGTGCTGCCAGTGAAAGTACAATTGGTTTGGCATCTACCACAGTGCAGGTGTGTGGGTGGGGGGCATGGAGGGCAATGTTGTATACAGCTCCAGGAAGGAGGTGGAGCTAATGCTGTGCCAAAATTTGTCCTCCAATTTCCTGAATGTTTTCTTCCCCTTGAAAAGGGTGTTCACTTTTCAGTCTTGTTCTCAATATGTTTTATAATTCTTCTGCAATTCTTTTCATAGTGTTTTTGAGCTTACATAATCACAGCAAGGCAACCAATGCTGCTATGCATATTTTCCCCTTGCTATTACACATCTAGCAATTTCTTTGCAGCCAACCTGGTTGCTCACACGTCTTCATTTGAAAAAAGCAGTGTGAGAAGAAGTACTTTACAATGTCTTTCCTTGGGCCTTAATGAAGTGTGGGAAGCCAGGAGGCTGCAGGCTGCCAGATACAAGAGGTACAGTGAGAAACAGGATACTTGCATGTGTCCCTTGGCTGCCTCCTAGGTAAGGTGAACACAAGAAACCCAAGCCAGCCTATGAGAACTGCTCTGAAATCTTCAGTACTGCATTTCTTCTCAAAAGCTATATCTGCTCTATAAAACTGAATAAGAATGATTTTTTAAAATGGGCAAATTTTCCAGCACAGCACTAATTATTTTACTCTCATGCATTTGGAGAGCAACAAGGCAAATTAATAGTTGTCCTGGTGCTGAATCGAATCCCTGTCTGCTTAAAGCTTTCCATTCATTAAGCTTTGGATGCTGGCAATAGAGTAGTCTAAACAGGTACAAACCATCATTAAAAGTGAGTGGGATTGAATAACATCTGTTGGAAACAGTAAATCACTAAAGCGATGGTGTGTAATGGGTAAACAAATCAAAAAGGGCATTCTTTGATTTAATTAAAGTATTGATTTGGCTGTCCTGTTGGTTTCAGTTGGAGAGGATTCTGGGGTGTGTCCTGCCGTTACTGACTTCGTGTGTTGGAACAAGAAATGCATTGAGTCTAACTTCGTCTGTGATTACAAGGCTGACTGTGAAGACTGGTCAGATGAAGTTGATTGCAGTAAGTACCTCTATCTGCATTGATGCAAGCTGTCATTTTTTAACCTTAAGTGTTATAGCACAGCTTCTTACAGCTACTCCAGAGAAGATAATTAAAACCATGCTGCTTCTTAGTTGGTTGTCTTTGAGCCTGAGACTTAGTATTTCCTTATTCCTGGAGACTTTTCTTGGATCAAAGAAAATTTAGATGCAACCTGAGCCCAATTCAAATAATCTTAAAATAGTTTTTCTTCTTGGTATGATCCTTATCAAATCAGTGAGGGGTTGTTGTTGTTTTTTCTTTTTTGAAGAAACTCAGGATTGGCCATGTATCTTAGTGTCTTATATGCCCCAAAGTTTATCTCCATGTGTAGTCCAATCCTATGTATATTTAGGATAAAGCCCTAACTTAAATGTGCATAGGATTGCAGCCTAATTTGATGCATATCCAAAGATCAAAGAATTGTTCAACAAATTATCAGCAGGAATATACTTGATTTTTAACATTAAAGAGCAAATCAAACAGCTAGCTTAAAGGGAATATAGAATTTCAAAGCAGCTGTTCTATGAAAAATATAAATATTGCACTTTCTTTTACATGTGCCTACATCTCTAATTAAGGATTTGTAAGGATGCTTTTCACAACTCATAGAGACAAGGATTGTCTATCTGTGATTGCCTATGGTACAAGCATTGTGCAGGCGGCATAGTGCTTCAAGTTAAGGCTGGGTAAGACTCAGCCCCCTCCTTGGGTTCATTAATCTCTCCTGCCACTTGGCAACTTTCAGGGGCAAATGAAAGTTGCAGTGTTTAGAGGTGATGCATGGACTTAATTTTCTACAATGTGACCAAGAGTTTCTTCCCTTTCCCAAAAAGCAAAGTCTAATCTGTCACTCCAAGGGTTGGCTTAGCCACTCTTTTAACCCGTGGGCTATGATGCTCCATGGCAACTTAGGGGGCCTGGAGGAAAGAGGAGAATCATCTCCTCCCAATTCTGTTGATGGAAGTGCTTCCATCCGTGAAATGACACCATTGGAATCCAACCTGTAAGTCCAAGTACTTACTCAAAAGTCTGTCACCACCTCCCAAGCATTAATATAACCTTTGGAGAAGGTTTTACCCTCTGCCTGAAGGTGCCAAAAAATCTGAGCTGAATATCATTAAATGCTACCCTGTAAAATGGGGCTGGGGTGCCTGTGGCCTTCCAGATGTTGTTGGACTCCAACCCCCAACAGCTCATGACAGCATGTCCATTGGCCAGGGATGATGGGAGTTTATTTCAGAAAAAGTATTTACTGCACTGCAATTTTTATAAGTTCTGTAGCAGTTCACAAAATTGCAGTCCAACGACATCTGGAAGTTCACAGATTCCCCACCGCTGCTGTGAAAGCCAAAATGAAGTCATAGTCAAATGATGACTACAGTACAGATGTGTCCATTTTTGTGATTGCCGTAGGCACCTATTGGACAGAATCCAGGATAATGAATCCAGATGCTGTTTTCCAATTTGGAGCAGTTCAAATACTTGAATGAGTGAAAGTGACTAGAATTTGCTTCTAGGCTCAGGTAGGAAAACCTTGTTTCTTTGTAAGGAAACAGGAGTTAGAAGAGCAATATGGACAGGGTTTTCCTCTGCAGCAAAGCTCTCTGCGATGAGTTTTGCTTTTCTAAGGTAAAAACATTTTGCTTGAAATGGAAATAGTTATATAGAAAAGTGAAATATTCACTAGATAGATACTTCCCCCACCCCGCCCCATGGTTTGCCATAAGATAAAGAAATCATGGCATATTTGAAAGCTGTCTCCATAGACATAAAAATAAAAGGAATCTACTATTTGTCATAATGTTGTATCTTCTGCTTATGGGTTTTTTTCCTTCCATGCAACAAGTCATGGCTATCATTGCATTGTTTAAATAGGAACTATTTAGATGGGACAAATAAGGGCATCATCTAATGTGGCTGCATGTAACCCTAAATTTGGAGAATTGCAGGCATCTTCCCATGCAAGCATGGGAAGAGTGCAGAGGAAGACCTCTATGCCCCTCCTGCAAAAGACAGGACTTGGTCTAACCAGTGGTAATCCAGGTAGCATCTTGTGGCCACAGGACTGAAGCCTGATGACATTTCAAACTTCGTGGGTGCCTCTGCTGCAGTCTTAACCATCAAAACAATAGAAAGACAACCAAATCAACACTGTCTGTTGAAGTTGTGATGAAAAGAAAATAAACCATTGCCACATAACATTAATATTCTTTTTTAAAAAACTTGCAAATAAAAACATTTTAATGTTATACGTTTTATGTTTGTATTATATATTTTGTGAAACACTGGGAGAACTTTGGCTATGGACAGGGAGTAAATGAAATTCCTTAGAAGGTTTACAGCCACTAAGTTGAAAGCATAGTATGGGGAATCTAATGTTCTGAAGCAATCCCTCAGCAAGCCAACGAAGATGATGATTTATTCTGTAACGCTGTTCTAGGACACTGGGCTTTCTAGTGGTTTTTTGAAAGCATTTCCTGACTGCTGATAGCATCTGCCTTCCTTTCTTATTCAGACAATGAGTAGAAGCATTGAGGCCCATATATCAGTTTGATTCCCCATAAAGCCATCCAGACTCTGCAACAATGGAGGACAGGTTTTCCTATAGGTTGGTTGTAAAGTGCTGCTCCATACCAAACGCAGGAGAAGACATTAAAAGTGGAGCACCATCCCTTTGCTTTACTAAGAGGCTGTGAGGGGGCAGGACATAATGGGTGTACTGCCTCTGTCTGAACCTGATACATAGGAGCATGTTCAGGGCAAACCTACACATATTTATTCAGAAATAAGTTTCACTACATCCAGTTACCGCCCTTTCCTCTGCCACTTAATCCATATAGGATGCAACCTTTTGCTGCTGTATTTTAAGGCTCCAGGCTCCTAACTACTTATCTGGGACTATGCCTCACTGAATGTCCTGCAGAGGATAACCTGGCCACTTCTTTCAGTACCGGGCAAAGACCTTTTCAGTTCACTCAGGCTTCCTAAGCAATTTATGCAACTGTAAGCAATGTATATGCTGTCAGGCTTAAACTACTAAAAGGTACTTTTACTTTGCTTTTGCTTTGCTTTGCTTTACTCTGCTCTTTGTTTTTTAAAGACAGTTTTACAGTTTTGTTCTATTTCCATCATCCGATTATACTTCAGTCTTCATTTTGTTAGTCATGCAAAGAATTTAAGTAGACTGGCAGTCACATAAACATAGTGATTTAACAAACAGAGAAACAAGGACTTTTTTTCTAAGGAGGCAAATACGGGATTGTGCAGTGATACTTGTTTATTTTGACTTGTATGTGTTCTTCCCCTTTTCTAGTCAGTGAACTGATTTCTAGCGGTGAGAGAGGCAGGGCATGTGCAGCCTTATACTGAGTGCTCACAGTGATTGTAATCCCACAGTAGCCATATTTGTGCCTTTTCCATGCTAATAGCAGAATAACAGCTCAGGAAAAATTGAGCTAAGGAATGGAAGACCCAGCATTTTCCAGTCTGTGCCTTTTTGCATGTGTTCATCCAGGATTCTGTCGCATTCTATTTCCACATTTTAAATTCCTCTCAATGTTCATATTTTAAAACACATTTAAATATGCATTTTTTTCCTCTCAGGTGTTTTTTGCTTCTATTGCTTAAATCCCTATTTTGACTCCAAGGATGCATTTAAATGCATATTTTGATATGCTTAAACAGCTGAGAATAGTGTTGTAACATTCAAAATGCAAAAACTGTTGGATCACTAGATTGCATAGCTCATTTATCCAAAAGGTATGGAACATAATGTCTTGTATAGGAATGCACAAAGACTGAATTCTTCGCACCTGCTTAGAATGAGCTAAGAAAATAATGGTTTAGGTGGGCTCATTACACTGGGAAGGAAGCATGCTTTGTGGGTTTGCCTGCTATGGGCAATTTTGCTGGCTTTGGGGTTGAAAAAAAAATTATTTGGCCTTTCAAACTTGATTACCAAACTAACACAAGGTTGCTCCTAATAGAGCATTGAGTAGCAATTAATAAAGTGAACTGTTTTACAAAATGCTCTTTTCCTAATTACACATTGCTGAATCCAAGGGGAAAGGACACCAGAGGGATTTTTAAACAAAGGTTTTTGGATACAGCAGTTCAAGCTAATATAATTGTCCTTGCATCCTGTAAAATAAGTAAACAGCTAGCTGAAACAAAACATCAACATCATCATGAAAAATATTTGACATACCCTACCTGGTGACAGTGGAACCATGGAAAGCTTTTACAAGACTACATTTTGAACAAATGGAACAAATGATGAAAGTAGGTGAATTTCATGGTAAAAGCATGGTATTCCAGTTCAAAATAGACTGTGCATCTGTATATCCTCACATGTGGAAGATTTGACCCATTATATATTATATTGCCAGTTATACACTGCCATTAGAAAATGTTATTTAGAACTCATCCTAAAGAAAAGTACTGGGAAGAGAGAGAATAGTTGGGTTTTTTGCTTCAACAGACAAAGCAATGAGGCACCAAATAAATAAATAAGTTGCCTTGTTTGTGGTAAATGTTGCCAGATGAAGGGAGAAGTTTTGCAGTAGCTTATAGCAAATCCTCCAAAATGTTCAGAGAACATGATTGTAACCTGACAGCCCTACCAATGCCACTGGGATTGGCTTAGTCTATCTATCTGCATCTTAGTAATAATTAACCTGTTTCAAGTGATTTCTATGTATTATTTTATGTATTATGGCAGGTTTTAAAAAACAAATTATTATATATTGTATTAATTCTACCATGGTCTAAGGATTCATGCAATATACAATACAACCAATTCTAATGACACTGGGCCTCATCTACAGTTATGGTTTCCTTACTTTCTTGGTTGAGGATGGAGATGGTATCACCAGGAGACCAGATGATGGTGGACATGGCTAGCCATGAGTAGAGTGACCATCCTTCAGTCATATCCTTCAATTATTCTTTCAGAAACCAAAGGCCTAGGCAGGGCTGAG